AATGAACTCAGCTTTTAAGTCAGCAGAAAATCACCCCCCCCCCAAGTGTCTTTAAAAGGCTAAGAGCAAATAACTATAAAGTTTAAAGTAAAATATGGAGCATTTTTAAAAGAAGTTTATTATTTTATATATTCATAGAACGAGAGAGAGTAAAATACACTAAGAATGTGTATTTTAGAATGTTACAAACTGTAAATGAAAAACAGAAAACCTAATGAAGTGCTTTCTCCCCATCAATGCGGGGGAAGCGACTACACAATGGCTTTCTCTATGATGGTACCTCCCACAGGCTTTTCCTTGCCAAAGCCAAGAAACCTCAAGGACACACAAAAACCATTTAAAACCCTTTCCTGTCTCTTCTAATCCCAATTCTAACAAAAAACCTGAAGGATCTGGCATCAAATTTAAGCTTGTAATGATGTGAATTCTTAAAATATGGAGATTGGCTGCTAAGGGCATTCCTTTGTTTCTAAAATCAATGATGGAAAAGAAAATATACTGAAATGTTTAAAATGTGTTTCCTTCTTATTGCAACAAGTGAGGGCTATCTGCCATAGTATCACAGTCTCCCTAAAACGGGCCTAAGCTACTTCCTTAACTTAAAAAAATGATTCTAGGTACAGAGTTAACTCTTGTGCCTCCATTTTTACAAATTATGCAGATAACATAAGACATACCTTTGGGAAAAAATCTTGAAAATACCCCCCAATAATGCTGTTACTATGGTAACTCTTATAGGCTAGTGCTCTGAAAAGACTCATATCCCTGAGTTTGAACACAGTTACTTCTCCATCTTCCACACTTCTCCCCTCATTAAACTTACCCTTTGCCATAATAGTACATCCACACTCCATAGAAAAAGATCTGCCTCATGAACCATACAGATCCTATTCTTTTAGCCAATGATTATTTCCAAAGTTTATATTTTCTGATGCCTTTTCTCTTGGAATATTGCCCAAGAAAGCAATATAAATCAAGTAATACTTCTGATAATCACTATCAAATTTTCTGTTGTCACTCCGAGTTCTCTTTTCAATATTTGCCCTCCCCTCCCCCGTTCTAGGCTTTTTGGTAAAAAAAAAATTTAGCGCTATAAATACTTAACATGCAGCACTACGAAAAGTGTTTTTCTTTAAATTTAAGGATATGGTTAAGCTATATACCTAATGGTCTGTCTAAAAAATGCGTGCTTTAAAAAAATTTTTACCGTGGGTATGTAAATCAAGTTCAGTGAATAAATGTGTTACTTGAACAAAAACCAAACACGTTTCTAATTGATACTTGCCCCATACAAGCCTCCTCCCACTGAAAGGTGATCAAAAAGGTTTCTCTTACAAGGACTTTCCACAAAGACATACATATACCAGCTCTATATAGCAAAGAGAATTATATTTCACTTAATGATAAATTCCAATTATGTAGTTAAGTTAGAGTACATAAGGTGATTTCATGTACATTACCTCATTTAACCCTTACAAATTGTGAAGTAAATGGAATAGATACTATTATTTACGTTTTAAAGGTGTGGCTTTGGGGAGAAATAAAAACAGCCCTAGGCAGAAGATGAACAGAACTAGGAAACAGTAACACTACCACCACTCACAAATTACACGGCCCTGGGCAAAACGCCTATTGGGATAACTGGAATCCTCCCTCACTCACTGTGGACAGCTTGACCCCTGGGCTGTCTTCTGGGTACTCCCTATAGAGGCTGTGTTACGGACTTGTGCTGCATGTAGGCTTTCCTGCTACTTTACTTACCTCTTTACCCTTTATTTCAACGTCTTTTTAAAAATTATCATCATGGTAAAAAACATAAGCATAAAATTCACCACCTTAACCATTTCTAGGTGTACAGTTCAGAAGTTTTAAATATAGTTGAACTGTTGTATAACCAATTAATCCTTTTTAACTTGACTATTTCCTCTAGTAGAGTATAAATTATTAAGGGCAAGAATTATGTTTTGTTTGCTGCTCTATTCTTAGTGCCTAGCAGAGCCTGATTCATAGAATATTCTCAGTGATACTCACTAAATGATGCTTGTTCTCTCTCTCTGCATCTACCTACCCACGCACTTAGAATTAAGAAGTGAGGTGTTTATACAGGAGTACATCTAAACATGTTAATTTAAATAAAAACTTTTTCTAATGCGGCAACTGGTTTTCTCATTAGGGTATATGGCAGATATTCTCTATAAATTGAATGAGTATTACCTGCAGTTCCAAGACTTTCTTTTTCCTCCAAAGAATGTGATAGGGTAAAAGCATTTCATCAAAAAACACTGCACTGGCCAACATTACTAAAATTAACAATATTTTCCTGGCTGGTGTAGCTCAGTGGATTGAGCGCGGGCCTGCGAACCAGACAATCACGGTTCGATTCCCAGTCAGGGCGCATGCCTGGGTTGCAGATCAGTTCCCTGCAGGCCAGTTCCCAGCAGGGGACGCACAAAAGGCAACCATACATTGATGTTTCTCTCCCTCTCTCCTTCCCTTCCCCTCTAAAGATAAATAAATAAAATATTTTTAAAAAATTAAAAAAATAAAAATAAAAAAATAAAAAATAAAATAAAATTAACAATATTTTGATTTTCCTAATTGTTTCTCGAGTATGTCTGGCTAAAGAAGGAATCTCTAAAATCAAATATCATATTGATCCTACACAAGCTTTTTGGTTTACTGTCCAGAAACAGAAGGTGAATGACTCTAGTGGCCAGTTAACAAATCCTTTTTTACTCAGTTTATGCTCAATTCTTTACTTTATTCAGTTTATTTTCAACAAAAATATCTTGACAGATCACTAAAAATAATTATTGATGATGGACTATTCTGCAATTTTTTGGTCACAAAACTCAGGACTTGTCCAAAAACATGGAGTGACACTGAACAACAGAACTTCGATTCTCATCTATACAGCAAAGTCAATAATGATTCTCAGAGTTAATTTCTGTAAAAACTGAAAAATACAATATTAACAAGTTATATAAATTTATTTCATTAAGAGACATGTAACAATTATTAAAATTTATAATGTATTTATATTATTATTATTTTAAAAGACTTCAATTTTTTACAGAGAGAGGGGAAAAAGAGAGAGGGAGAGAGACATCAGTGTGTGGTTGTCTCCCTTGTGCCCCCCCACTGGGGACCTGGCCCACAACCCAGGCATGTACCCTGACTGGGAATCGAACTGGCAACCCTTTTGTTTGCAGGACTGTGCTCAATCCACTAAGCTATACCAGCCAGGGCTATAATATTATTTTGATCAACTACAGATAATAATCAGGGTAATAATAATTATAAGAGAGAAAGAAAAATTTATTTTCATAGCACTTTCTAGTAATAGAAAATTAATAATTTAAAATAAAGTTCAGTGGGAAATAGAAGTAAATTTTGTAACTATGAAAGAAATACTTCCATTTAAAAAATAAATCATGGTAAGTATCATACTTTTATATTTAGATTACTTAGAAATGTTTAGTAAAACAATTAGCAGTTTTGTTTTAAAATGTGAACATTTCAAATATACTGGAAAACTACATTTTTGTTATTTAAACTTAAAATGCAAAATATCCAAGAATTAATGATTTAAATAACAATGGTTTAAAATAGTAAAATTATAGTTTAAAAAATTCTTTGAAGGGGTATATGAGCAAAAAAAAGTCTGAAACTACAATACTATCAAACCACTGCTTCAAGCCTTAGGTTTTTAAATTTGGAGTGTTTGCAGATTTGAGGAATTCAGATTTCAGCTTCTTACTTTATAAATGGTATCAGTATAGTTGAAGATAAGCCCTAAATTCTAACCAAAAAACAGTACTTATTTTTATCCAGAATGAGAGAAAAGTAAATGGTTCTTGAGCTATCAGGTTCCAAGGATCAAATCAGTTGCCTAATTCACAAATTCTCCAGTAATACCCTCTAGTAATAACCAAATCATGACGCATGACCAGCTAGCTGAGTAACAGCATTCCTCATCAAGAATTAAAATTATGAGAGTTTTAAGGATGTGCTTCCTTCACTTAGGTACTTAGTTAAATGATTAACAAAAGTGCCTACTTAGTGGTAAGATTATTAGCTGAATTATCAATATTACTGTACCCACAGAATCTACTGCAAAAAGTGGGAATGTGTTATAATGTGTTCTGGAGACTAAATTGAAAGCCTTACGAAAAAAACCACCTCCCTAATCTTCCATGACCATTAGATATACTTTAGGTAAGCAGCAGTTCTAGAACGCTAAGGCTCTTAAAATACAGTATCCCCAAAAAAAAGTTACCAACAAAATTTACCAAAGTATTTAAAAACAATGGTGATAATTTCCATTGGTAGCATTTCTTCACAGCCCGCTGATGACAGTGCAGGCTCTCAGGTGTGGGCTGATACTGATTTAAATAGACAAAGGATGCATTTGAGTAAAAGGAAGCGAGATCTTTGACAGACAGTTCTTCGAAAAAGGTTAAAAATTCAAAAGCTGTGACTGCATGTGGCTCAGAACTAAAAGCTTTTTTCTCCTCCCAACATAAGAGCAATCTCAAGTAATAACTGGTTGCCATGGAGATAAGAAACTAGAGAGATCAGAGAACTCAATTTGCAGTTAAATGGGCTGGAAACACTCTATACAACTTGGTAAAGGAAAGCGATTAAAAATATACATGATTGCCAGAGGGACTCTTTTTCACCTAGCATTTCCCAACCTCATTAATGAACAAGTCTAAAAAACCCAATGAAAACCCAAGGTACCCAGAGACTGAACCCATTAAACATGATTCAGGATTTTAAACATTGTCACAAATCCTTCTATTCCAGAAGACTCTGATTCTTTTTAATGGTACCTGTTAGTAAATATTGGAACGAGACTAAAATTGTGTCCAAGAACAAACTAGTATAGCTGAGGGGACTGGAATTTCAGTGAAAAAGTATGCAGAGTTAGAAACAGACTTAAGGACAGAAAATCTGGGTTTTGAAAAACCTCTTCAGAGGCGATCATAGAATAATACCTTTGTGAGTGCTGTAAAGGGCCGCAAACGTCACCATGAAGAAAGTGGTGGAGTATTTCCCAGCATTGACTAAATGAGGAAAGGCCCTTCTAGTGTCCCGGTATCGGCGCAGGCACTGGATGAAGCGAAGCCAAGCGGGAATGCACTGAACAATGGCCCGCACACCATATGAATATTTGTGGCAAATTTCTTGCTCTGTGAAGATTTCAAAGAAGAAAAATTTACAATTAAAAAATAACTTGTTCACATCATTTAGTCATATACTGTAACTACCAGCAAGTCCATAAAATCAAGGAGCGTGGGTTTCAGAATCACTTTCCTCTTTGTTACCTACTTTATTCTTAATCTTTGCAGTGGTAAATTAGCCCAGGAGAGAAGGTAAAATACATAGGAAGAACCTAATGGGCAAATCTGCCATCCCAGGTTTCTGATTACCTCTTCTGAAATCACTTGTCTGCAGTGTGGTAAAACCATAATAAAACTAGAAGGTGAGTATATTAGTCAAAGAGAAAACAGTTAGCCCTGTATGTGAAAAACATCTGGAAAGCCTACAAATAAATGTCACTGGTGACTCCAGTCAATTTCATGAACTCCAAGCCACTGTAATATATCTGCTATAGGTTTTTCATGCATCCATGAAGAGCAGATTGTATTTTTAAGTGAGAAGAATGGAGTTGATAATCAATTTTTCTTCCAATTCTGGGAATGCATTATAGTGTGATCAACCTACAATACAGTTGTCATCTGCTGGCAATCAATGAAAATGTGTTGGCACTGGCTTCATGAACTTTTGTTAGTCAGATGTTACATAAGCTGTCTAAATTTAGTCTTTGTCATTAAGGCAAAGTTCCTTTATATCTTGAACTTCTGGTACAAACTAGGAGTGGGAAAAAAGAGCCAGCAGAAAAACAAGGTTCCCAGTAAAATAAAAAACAGACATGTGGCTTTTTCAAAGCACCTGATCTAACTCTCAATAATCAGTATTTTTGATCATTAAAAAGCAACACTGGGAGGCAACTGTCACTAAAGCATATGTGATATAACTACTAATGTACCAGAATATTTTAGTTTTAGAATTCTTTAAATGTAAGTTGTAAATCTTTTGGCAAATGAATGGCTAAAATCATAACATAATTTAAGAGGCAAATAATATCAGATAGAGATGTCTAAGAGTGCCAAGTACATTTAATTAAGTTTGCAGTATTACTGGGGGAGCTTTCACCATGCTCTTACATGTCTCAGTTCCCACTCCCAGTATTTCTTGGTTTGCATTGGCAGTTTAGCAGTGTGGATGCACATTCATACCCTACCTGCTAAATTATTTGGCAACAGGCCCCCACTTTCATCCCATTTGAGCTCAAAACTGTAGAAGCAGATCATATATTCCAGGTCCATCAGTATCACTGACAGGCTGTTCAGCTGATCGGCCAGCCAGAAATCAGCAAAGCCTACCTTATGGAAGGGGGCTGTAAATACTCGAAACTGGGAGAAAGAAAGAAAAATGGGAACACAGAAAAACAAGAACATTTATATTAAATTTCTCTAATTCACGTCTGACCATGCAGCACGATTACTTTAGCTGATAAAATGGCAACCAATGAATCAATCATAAACACAGGGACCTGGCAACAGTGGCTAGGTTGAGAATTAGTAGTAAAGGGAATGAGCTGAATGCATAACTAAGAAAGGAAGTAAAGGGGGGCGGGGAAAGGCAGAAATAGCTACACTTAGAAAACGGAAAGCAGAGAGTGTGAAGGGCTGAAGTCAAAAGCAGAGAATGGCAGAAGGTAGAAGTGCTGATAGGATGTGTAACATTAGGCTCTAGGGTAAATTCTGCTCGAGGCCCATGTGTTATGATAATTTCTGAAATATTCTCCCATCTTAGCTGGGATGGAAGCTCGGCACTCCCTCGCTTACAAAGTATTGAGAGTAAGGGAAAGGATGGTTCCTCTCATGGTTTGGAGCGTACCTTCTCTAACCAACATCACTTTCCTTTCATTAATGCCATGGTAATGATGTTATTTGTCTTGAAATTATACCACAAAAATCAGCCCATACCTTACTGTTATGAAAACAATGAATTCAGGTTAAATGTATTGAGCACTATAATCCATGTTGTGTATTTTTCTCATAATGCATTTCTCATAATCCACTAACTGTAACATGTAACAGTTCTATGAAATAGGTTTATTTCTCATACCCCCATTTTACAAAAGACCTACAACAAACTCATCCTGACCTCTTTGGTGGACACCTGTTAACCACTGCAGAGAGAAATCCACACACTGCAGAGAGGCATGATTAGATACTAATGTAATCACCAGAAATAACCTCAATTTGTGCAGAATGCCTTGAGAGAACTTGAGTGAAGTGAAGACAGGATAAGGGGAACTTTAATCTTCACCCTGGGGGACCCTTTCTATCTAATGGTGACAGGTGACAATGGACTCCTAAAACAAGGAATTCTAAGTAGCCAAAATAAATCTGTAGCTCTCCTGCCATCTAACTATATTCATTTAGTAGACATATTCAGCCTGAGACCTAGCTTTTTCTTCTCAGACTTGGCTGGGTTTTTTTTCTATTCTTTCTCTAAATATCTCCCTTTATTATTTCAGGAAGATAAATGGCTTTATTATGAATCAATCCTGGGTGTCAAATACCTGTGACAGGTATTGCCTTGGAACTTTGGAAGTTAAAACAGCTGTCTGCAGGACAAAATACAGACTTTGACACATTATGTACTTGTGCTGATACATTCTGAGTCCATGGCTCGATCTCCTGATCACTCTTTCGGTTAAGTCGTACAGCAAGCCACAGAGACAAGATATACTGTCTGAAACTATAAGCTCCAGACACAGCAACCTCTTTTTGGGGGTGGAGGCACTTAAGGGTTTGAGATGTTAGCTATTTATGCATGAAAAGGTTCTGGTACCAGTTTATATGGTATTTTAAGGAACTCTAGGGTATAGAATAGACTTGAGACAGAAACAAGAGGATAATCTAGAATACACCAAAGGATCAGAACGTCTAACTCAACTTCTAGTCATTTTGTGAAATTGGTAGCCTAGGACAAATTTCTAATTTCTCACTAACATGAGACATACTGCCATCACTCTCGTAATCTGCCAAACCCAGCCTCAAAACCTGGCTCACACAGAGAACCTCCATAAGAGCAGAAGAGGAGGAGAATGCATTAAATAAGAAACTGAGAGACAGAGGGATGGGACTGAAAGAGGAGGGGAGTGGCATGAAAAGAGGAACTGGGAGGAAGGGATGAAAGAGAGATGAAGAAAGGAAGAAAGAAGGGGGTAATAAATGCTGGTTTCATACGACTAATGAAGGACAATATAATTACAATCATTCATGCATTTAACAAAGACTTATTAAGTATTTGCTATACATCAGGCATTGTGGAGGTATAGAGATAAATTAAAAAATAATCTACTCTCAAAGACCTCAGAATGATGATTGAGCAAATCACAGCCTGGCTGGGCAAATAAATACCTAAAGAAATAATGAGAGTCCTGTGTAGTAAGTGCTATTACAGATATACATACAAAATACTCTGGAAATAAAAAAAGGGAGCAAGTAGCTCAGTCAGAGATAAGGTTGGGGTGGTGGTAGAAAATAAATAGATCCTACGTAATTCCTTAACATTTACATAGCCAAATTCATCTTAGATTTATCTGAATTCTACCTTTTGAGTGAGAATTTTCCTTCTTCTTTTCTTGTTCTAGCTAAGGTCCTTCAACTTCTACTCTTTGATTTTGATTAAAATCATAACGATTCAGTAAGTAATAGTTACTAAGAAAGCTAGATACAGTTCTGGATATCTGATGTTTTACCTATATATACACAAAGAAAGCCACTAATAAGTTAATACGAAGGATATATTCTAACATCTAAGTTAATGCAGATAAGTGGCTAAGGAAATGAAGTTTTAATTTCTATTTTTATAGGCTTATGAATAATCACATTATTTCCAAATTTGATTTTTATATTTCGTTAGTTTGATCCACTCAAAGTTAAACACTGTAGATAAAGTAACTACCAGGGCTAGCTGTTCAATGGTAGTGTTTAAGAGTACAGACTTCTGGGCTCATCTCTGTTACTTATTGTGTGACCTCATTTAACTGCTTTAAATCTAGGCTTCCTCATTTATAAAATGTAGATTAACAGCAGCTCCAACCTCAAGGTTGATTAAAACTATGTGCAGAACAGTACATTATTAAATGAGAACACGTCTCTCATCTATTCTTATAGTAGAGACATATAAAAATTTTACTATATAATTAAAGAAATATTGGAAAAAAACAACTCCTAAATTATATAGCAAAGTAATGTAAAAACTTTAAGTAGACTTCTGTAAGAATAAGATATTTCTGTTTAGAAAATCTGAGTCACTGTTTATGCTTCCTAATTGGATTTCCAATTAGAGCAAATACAGATCTGAATAGAGGATGTATGTATGACTTAATGAATGTAAAAAAAAAACAACAAAAAACTATACTGATTTGATATATAACGTTAATATCAAAATAAATCTATTTCCTATACAAAATTTTAAAGCATTTTTTGGGAGGAAAGTGGCATGTATCAATTCGATTCAAATTTAATTATGGGTGTAAATGATGCCCAGTGCCTACCATTATGGCCAAGTGACATGTTCTTTTCCAACTAAAAACTAGAGAAGAAAGAAGGAAATATAGTTTTACTTCAAGATGAGGCTTTAATAAGAACTATATCAGAGAAACATAACTAGGGTGGAAACATTCTTGTAAATTTACTGGAAATAAATCTAAGGGTAAGTTTTCTCAGTGAGATTTAAATTCAAGTAAGTTGACAGGTCAATTAATATTAAAATGATCTGTAAACAACATATTCCTATTTACAGTTATTATTACAGTTGTAACAAATCACAATGTTTCCTTCTGTATTTTACTGCTTCTGATAGCACCTTTTATTATTCTGTTATTTCTTGTTATTGTATTAGCACTGCCAACCTCTTCCATCTACAAATCCTCATTTATTAGCACATAGCAGATGCAGAGATAAATATCTACTCAACGGGGAATCATTCTGCTAATAAGAGTAACTGGTCATGCGTGAATCATAGCTTACTATTTAAACAAAAAAGGGATGCACTGGGGAAATGCTCACTTAGCATACAATGTATACAACTATATTACTTTGTTATTGCAATGATACAATCATATTAACACCTGAGTTTTCTGAGTCTTTCTGAGTCTTTGAAATAGTTATTTCAAAATAACTATATAAAGATTTCACAATAACTGAGGCAGAAAACAATAGGTGTATATAATCTTAAAGTTATTTCCTTGTAACCAAATAATAACAGCTTTAAAACTCCACAAAGTTTAGTAATAAAAATGACTAATAATCTCAAAATAACAAAGGCAATCTAATAACGTACTAGCTGGAAATGATTTTAGTATAGATTTTAAGAGACATAAAAATGGCTCAAATATTCATCTTAAAAATCCTCTAAAAATTATGTTTTTGAGATAATGATAAAACCTATTAAAGGTAATGGTATTCTTATGACTTATCAAAATACTCTTGTACATTTGAGTTACATACTCGGAATCCAACCCCAAAGTTAGGCCTAATGGTTAGGTCTAATTTCCTTAAAGGAAATTATTTACTTTTTATCTATTTGTGTTTAATGAAAATGGAAGAAAGAGGGAGGTTCTCAATTTGTGATTTAAAAAATCCTAGTGGAAAAAATAAAAAATACAAATAAAAAACCAATCAACTTTGTGGGGGAGGAAATCAAGATTTTGGCCATTTTCTTTTCCTGAATGCTATAAATACTCACCTATGTTCAAACATAGGTTGCTTTCTATTTGTTGAATGCTAATTATGTTGGTTTTTTTTTAAATAAAAAGGCTATGTTTTATGTCTTCAGATTTTTAAAAATTTAGTTAATGTTATACATAGGGAGTTTATTGCTAAGAACAACTACAATAAAAATCTGCTAACCATAAGGGACATACAAAAGAAAAAAATAGGCAATAATTGTGGGAATTCTGAAAGTTCGTGTAGAGAATGATCGATTTAATCACTAATCTTCACTCTTCTGTTAGCTGTAATTCATAATCTAAGAAGTAATTATGTGAAAGCATTCCAAACTGATTTTCAATACAGAGCTGGTTTAATTTAGGAGTAAGCAGAAATCCTTTCCCAGAGTTAACATTACACTATCACACACAAAAACACAGCTACTGTCTTTCATATCCTAATACTATGTTCTATATCTTAATACTGAGACTGCACTGAGATCATTAAAAATAAGTAAACTGGAAGAAGAAATAAAATTTATTATAAACAAAGCATCTAAGTCAGTTTCTCAAGTTAAACTTGATCTGGAAAAATATTCCTATTGCTTTTAGAGAACCAACCTTTCATAAATTTAACAGAAAAATAAAATTTTACTACTTGTTAAAAATAGGAAACAGTTCTACATGTTATCAGAGCTGATTAAATAATCTGTATAATGAAGTAACTAAATTAATCATGAATTAATTATTATTAATTTGCAAAATCATTTCAATATCTGGACACTGCATACTCCATTTCTGGAGGGAAAAAATGCACGTGTGCTTTAGCCAGAGACGCTGCGCCGTGCGACATCGGGTGCACCGCGTTCCTTGTCTCTACAGCTGGCACCACTCACGCAGTCACAGCGCGAACCGTGCCTTCTGGAGCCGCACACTGCAGCAGCCGGGGTTTCACCCTGAGCGAAGCCAACACACCATTCCAACAGTGATACATGAATTTCTGGACTTACCAGAAGTTTAAGCAGCCAAAATCGGGATTTATAATAGAAACTTTTGGTGGGGTTGATAAGAAAGAAAACCATAAATCCATAAAGGACGAGTGGGTACACGTATGTGGGGATGACACTAATTGGAGCAAAGAAGCAAGCCAGAAGGCTCAGGCACCACAATATCCCAAGGAATCCAGCAATCTGATAAAGGGTGGGAAAGAGAAAAAAACTGTTATTTTTATTTTTACTGTTACTGAGAATCTCTTTAATAAAAAAAGGTAAGGAAATGTTTAGTTATTAAAGTCAACCAACAGTCCTCTTCAAGCAGAAGACGGATTTTAGTACCCACTAAACCAGCTGTATAGCTCATGCAAACTCTATTTGTGGGACTTACATCTTGCTTCAATTACCTCAAAGAGATGCTGATGAGACAAGTTGCTTCTTGGATTAAGTTCAAAGATGAGCACATGATTTACTCCAGCCTGTCTCCAACCATACGTGTTGATGCCCAGTAGGAAAAGGAATTCAATCAGAAGAAAGCCACCCCGATAGATTCTTATCAAGGGCCATATACTTCTATCTGTTTCAAGTTTAAATATAGCTGAAAGAATATCAATTAATCAGTTAGTTAGAATATTCATATGTCTCCTTTATTATCTTTTCTCTCAATTCTCAATGATATAGCCCTGTCACAGGAACTTTTCTCAGCAAATAAAACCTGAATCTACATTATCTTAAGATCCTGTAAACTTGCTTCTAGGTTCTTTCCCATTTTCATTTCACTCTGCAAAATCCCACCAGAATAATTTTCTTAAAATTTGACTATTAGCATGTTAGTTCATTGTTCCATTAGTGTCTAGAATTCAGGGAGAATCAAAATAAAACAGTTTAGAACCATAACATCAGTTCTGTCAGCTGGGGATTTCTGGCATGATACAATGTCTTTGGCTTTGTTTTGTCCATCATTAGACTGAATATAGTAGTACCTACTTCACAGAGTTGCTGTGAAAATTAAAGGAAATAGTACACATGATAGTACAAATAGTACAAAAGATATATAACGTTTGCTTGCTGAATGGAAAACAACCTGTAAACTGAAGTTATTAAGCTCATTTAACAAATGCAGAAATTGTTTCAGAGAAGTGAAGTGATATCCCGAAAGCCAAAACAATTAACAAACACTGGAGTTGGAACTGAAACCCAGGCAAGGTCTTCCAAAGACTGGTAAGTGTTCTTTCCACAACAGCCAGCTTGATCACCTAGGGCTAGGTTTTTACTGGAGTATTTCCATGCATTCTACATAACAATTGCATTCATCTGAAGAAACTGAACTAGATTAAAAAATGATTATAAATCATACCAATATTAAATCCTGAGCTTATGTACACAGCAATCACTAGAATTAATTTTTAGCAACTGAAAGAAAACTAAGAACACAGGAATAAAAACATATTTATAAGTAAAGTTCATACACTCTTTAAAAGCCATGACAACTTGGGTTAAAATTTGATAATGTGCAACTAACAATCTTAAAGAACAATGTTTGTGAGGAATAATGTGTTCTGTAAAATTATTTCTTAAACATCTGCTCTTTGAAACTGTGTTAGGAAATTGCCATACAAAAATGAAAAATACACAGTGTTTGCATTATTACGATTACTAACAGTCCAAAAGAGGGTATGATGAAGATTTATACAATAACATCTAGTTCTAAGTCATGTATGTTTGCAGGCTTCACTGAGCAGAATTTAATCCTTTATTCATGATTCATAGTTGTCATTATAAGGATAAATACACAGACCAGACTCTGGGCATATAGGATTATTTGCCCTTAAAGCAAAAGTCTTCAAATGCAAGAACCTTTGAGATGTGTCTTTTCCCTGTGTATGTGTGTTTGTATATCATTTAGTTTTGTCTTGGCCCTTTCTCTTGCATCTATTCACACTTCCACCAATATTTTTAACCCCTACTATGTCCCAGGCAGTGTTCTAGGTGCTGCAGATACAATGGTGAACAGGAGATGAGCAGGCATCAAGAAAGTTACATTCCAGTGGGAAAACAGATATTGAGAAACATAAATATGAAATATTATGCCATGTAATTACAAGTGCTCTAGAGAAAACTAATGTAGGCTAAAGGGACAGAACAATCTACTTTAGGGTAGGGTGATCAGGAAAGGCCTTACTGAGGAGGAAGTGAGGGAATAAGAGTAGACATCTTGGGGAAGAGCCTTTTAGGCAACTGCAAGGGTTTATAGATGGGAATGAACTTGGGGTGTTCAAGGAACAGTAACAATAAACGTATGGTTAAGAACAGAGTAAAACTGGGTGTGGGGAGGATGACAGCATGTAAAGTCAGAAAGGCCCATGGGGCAAACTCCTGTAGGGTCTTATAGGCTGTAGTGAGGTCTCAACAATATTGTAAGAGAAGTCATTACTAGATTTTGAAGGAGAAATTGATACAATGTCAGTTATTTTCTTAAAAGAAAGACAGTAGAAGCTATAAGGAGCCAAGAGAGGCTGCAGGGAGACAAGTTCAGAAGGCCACTGGATTATATTAAGGCTGGCACTGGTGGAGGTGGACAAATTCAGAACATATTTTGAAGACGGAGCAACGGGATTTGCTGATGGGACTGGAAATGAATTATATGGGAAAAGAGAGGCTAAAGGTTTCTGGCCTGAGAAACTGATGAAGGGTGATGCCATATTAAAGAAAGTGTACTAGAGGGTTACAAAAACATTGTCCATGTAAGTTTGAGATGCCTATTAGTCATCCAAGTAGCCAATTAAATAGCATTCAGAGGAAAGAGCACATACTCGGGAGTCACGATTACATACATAGTATTTATGTCCGTGGGTCTGAATAAGATTGCCTTGGTAGTAAATAAATGTAGACAGAGCAGATTTCAGGAGTGAGCCCAGTAGTATACACCAACATTTAGATGTCACAAAGGAAAAGTAAAAAAAAACACAAAAAACAGCTAGCAAGGCAGACTGGGAAAGCACTGCCAGTACAGTATAATAGAACAACTGGTAGGGTGTGGTTTTCCGGCAAATCCAATTGAAGAAAAACTTCAAGAGGTGATGACAATGCCACATGCTTCTGTGTGCAGGTTTAGAAAGACGGTGCCCCTGTTGCTGTTCTATGATTCCTTGATGTTGGGAGTGCACTTGCTTCTAGCAATTCCTCCTACCTCTTTCTAATCTTTAACACTATAGAATAGGAAATGATATAACAAGCTTCTTAACATTATATGCAAAGTAATTGTAAATAGGTTCTGGAAGAGATGTGAAAGAGTCTCCGAAAAGCAAAGTAAATAAATCGGTACACGATCTGTATTATCTTATTTACTGTCATCTGTGATCAAGGGACCTAAGGTTCTTGATAAATGAACACTGAAAAAGTGTGAGGAAATTGTACATAAACTCTGGAAAATGATGGAGAACAAGAGTGATTAACTAGCAATGTTTTAAACGATAATAATATACCGCAAGGGAAAAACAAACCAAAACAAATGACTTCCCCTACCCCCACTAATTTATAAGAACAAAAACTTAGCCCTAACAGATTTCTCTTTCAATAACTTTGGTAGTTTGGTAGTAGGTTTGACAGAAGGACAGAATATGACATAGGCATATGTGTAAAAATAATTTAATTCAAAATTTAACCTACTTACCGGCAAGCACAAGGGTAACATTCAATACAATGAATATTCCACAAAATAGGCCAACTCTAAAAGTAGTCCATGCTGGTGCAGGCTATGGACAGAAAAACAGAATTTTGGGTACAGGACAAAATATTGAGTACAGTTAGTAAATGCTCTCATAAATCAGTAGCATGAGCCTCAAAGTTCTACCGTGAAATCAACAAAAATATTTTATGATCTGTATTTTTATAAATCTGAATTATAGAATCATCTTTCATCATTCTATAATACTAGAAATAGAGTTACCATTTATTTGAATTCTTTTACAGAAATCTGAGTCACTAAATAAACAAGATTATAATTTTAGGCTTCGAATTACATATATACTAATTTTCTTATAGAAAAGATTTAAGTGCAATTTAGAGGTCTTCAGCATCTTTTGTTATATTTATCCCTAAATATTTTATGTCTTAATCATAAATAGCGATTTTTAAAAATTTTGATTTCCAATTGTTCATGATTGTATATAGAAATATAACTGATCTTTATATATTGATCTTGTATTCAGCAATTTTGCTAAATTCACTAGTTCTAGTAGCTAGTCTATAAATTCAATGGATTTTCTAGGTCATCATGTCACTGGCAAAAAACTCCACCTGTTTTACTTCTTTCTAATCTGAATGCCTCTAATTTCTCTTTCTTACATGGCTATAATCTCCAGAACAATGTTGAAGGGAAAAGTGAGTATGTTTTTTTGTTCTTAGTTAGAGAAAAAGGATTCAAGCGCTTCACCATTAAGTAGAATATGATATTAGTTGTAGATTTCTTGTAAATGCCTTTTATTGGGATGTGATTAAAAAAGCTCTTTCTGTTATGGATTACCATTCTATTGTAGTCAGAAAACATACTCTCTAGAATTTAAATCCTTTTAAATTTATTGAGACTTGTTTTATGATACAGAAGATATCACTTAAATGTTTTCCGGTATAATAAATAGCATTTAACAAATGCTTTTATAGGTTTAACTATTGTATTTTGGATGAAGCTATATCTGATACCCCCCATCATTAAATACACATCTCATCTTAATCATTTGTTGAGAATGAAGTTAGCACGTCAATAAAAATAAACAAGTACAGGATAAGAAGAGATAGATGGGAAGACATTATAATTCATTATAAAGTGAGATCTGGCATCTAATTTTTTAGTACAAAAATAACAATACCATTAGCTACTTAAAAACTTTGAAACATTTTTTAAAGTAATAAAATCACTATATTTCATCAGCTAAATATATTGTATTGATTATTAAATCGGCAAATCCAACCAACCAGCTAGAAACCAATACGAACCTGAGCAGCTCCCAAAGGGGGAACACGTAAACGTTTCATCGCTTTCTGTCTGTCACCATCTTCAAGTTCATTGGTCACTACGGCCTAGAAAGACACATTATTAAATTTTGACACAAGTTATACTGAACTCGACTAATGAGTAAATAATTCTGAACCATTTATAAATATGGTACTTTGATAACCTCTTAGTGAATGAGTACTGATTAAAGAATAAAATCATGAGTAAGAATACAGGGTCTGGCACAAATAATGCCCTCTTTTCACTACAAAATCTTTCATCACAAAATCATAAGCATGTAATTCTGTAATATAACACTATCGCTCACACTCAAGCCCATCATATGACATTTTAGGTGAAATGTTCAAATTAAAACTATAAATTATTACACCCATATTTTTACCTTACCAACCACACTCAAGCAGGTCTTACTTCTGCTGAATCCTGTATATGTATATATTTAAAGGTAGAATCAATCATAATGGAGAACAGAAATGAGGAATTATTTGATTAAAAATAAGACATGTAAGTTATTGAAAATATATGGCATATGAGTCAGACTACTGTACCTCAGTCTCGGAGATGAGCTGGTTGATTTTCTTGCAAGTATAAAATGGGGCCACTTCTACATGAGCTACTCGCCAATCTGCTCCACGAGATGTTTCCAAGATCTTGTCATGCTTTTTAAGGATTTTTCGAAACCCTGTAAAATTCAGATTCTACAGGAAAAAAGAGAAATACTACTATAATTTCCACCACCATAAAAGAAGATGAAAGACAGATAATAAGCACCATGTGTACAGAGTGCTTACTGAAGGTTGAGGACAGAAGGAAATGACAATGCTGTCATAAAAGCACTTCCTGAAAGGGTGAGACTCTTCTTTCTTATTTTATTTATTCATTTCAAGGTAGTATTTTATCAGTAATTAAAAGAAACCGTAAATGTAAACCTTATTATTTCAATTTCAAGAAAATTGATGGAAGTTCTAACTCAAAACATTTTTGTTTCTATTTTCCTATGAACAATTGTTCTCAAAATAGCTAATTTATATTTATTCTTTGATCAAAAGAATATTTTCAGAAAATATTTCAGACTTATCACACACTGAATACATTGATAGTGATAAGTTCTCTGCTTTTTGAAGGATTGGCATAGGTATGCGTTTGCCCTCACTACTATGCAAGCACGTACAAACCAGCATGGAAAACAGACTATCTATTTTTCTTAATTTTCACTTTACCTCCATTCATTCTGAGTTTGGAGATGGGACTGCAAAGAAGAGTCAGCAGAAAAGAAGTGATCATACTTATAGTTTTGTGGATAATGGACAGAAGCTAGTATTTTTCCTCCATTTCTATAATGTCCAAATCCTACTTTTCTACATTCTCAAATTCTGTTGTTTGATCCACATGCAAAAAAGCAGGAAACTGTGGACATGCAAGGTTCTTTAAACCAGAGTTCTCCCAAAGTTGCTGATCACAGATCCACATTAGTAAAAAGATGGGCACTCACTCCTAACTAGGCTTTGTTTGCTAGCTTATACCTTTTTTCTCATACTTTAATGGATCATCTTGAATTCTCCTTGGGGTGCATACACCATAACTTGTAGACTGCTTTCCATCAACTTTCTCCTCATTCTCAAAATAAATGTAGCTTTACTGAATAAACAGCTTCAAAGAATAGAGGATAGATTAAAACTTGCATAACAATTTTTTTTTGTTTTCCCAAGTAACTTTTTATAATAAGCCAAAACAAAAGCTTCTGGAAAAGTTAAAAAAGTTAACAAAGGTTATTTCCCTGTAATACACAAACATATTTAATGAAATATAAAATACTGATGTTTTATAAGAAAGAAGAAATACATTTTTCTTTTTAAAAATAAATTACAAAGCTTATGGATAAATTTAAAGGAAAGGAATTTCCTTTCATATATATTTTATATAATTATTTTTCTAGTCTTCTAAAATTACTTTCCAACTGGGTGGTTCTTTCAATGATAAAGAAGAAAGTAGAATTACAAAAGGGAAAGACAGAAATAAGTACATGGATTAACAACTTAGACCACTGCAGACATGAAGTACATTGACTTTTTATTTTAAATTTCCAGAATTTACCCCTGGTAATACTTTTGTTACATAACCTTCAGTTTTTATACAATACATAACGCTGTAATGATTCTAACCACTAATTATAAGTAATAATCACAAGAACAAAATGAAAAAATAGTGCATAAGGTCTCTCTAACGATTAGAGGGTGCTTTTGCCTAATTTCAAAGCTTATTATTAAACAGATCATGTTTTTCAATAAATTCTTTACAGATTTAACTATATAAACAAATCTATAAAGAATTACAAATGAATAAATATCCTGTAATTCCAAAATATTGCATACGCAATGGTTCAATTTTCCAGATTGAATTTTTAAAATACTGATATAACAGCTTAGATGTTCAGTCTGTATAAAACATTTGCTGTTATTTAATTATTTTATCCACAAGATTAAAACAGTGAGTTATGCTGCAGCATGTGATTAATAAAACTGAAAAGATTCTTAGTGGGAAGTTAAACTCAGTATATTCATAAACATTTATTAATAAATATAAATTCATTTTATTTAGATAAATATAATTATTTATTGAAATTTATTTATTTATTTATAAGCAGTCAGTAATAAGTAAGTCTTATTACTCTAATTGACCACCTCTGGTAATGTGGTTTTAGCCAGTAAGAACATCAGAAATCCCAGTAAGAACCTAAAGAACAATGGCAGGCTAAGGATTTTCCTTTCTGGACTGGCCCATCAGTACAGCTCAAGGTAGTACCACTTACTATAACTTTCAGTTGCTTAAAGGCTCTATTTTCCAGGGTGTGAATCTAAGTACCTGATAGTTCTGCAGCAGGATAAGACTGAGGTAGAACTCGCTGAAGGCCAGTTTAAGGTCTTTAATATTCCTGTGTTGGACACGTTCCTCATGGGACAGGTGGAAGACTGGCTTTCTGCGCTGTCGCAGCGTAGTGACACCAGTGCTTTCTTTCTGTGCATCCAGTGACGACTGCAGCTCATTCTGAAGTGTGGCAAACCTGCGCTGAGCCTCTGCGAGCTTTTCTATAAGAAATAAAAAACAGAATTGTCAAATTATCACGATAAAAATGGTGGTGAAGGTACTCACTGACTTGTCTGAATTTTTACTAATTGTTCTAGTTTGTTTCCCTAAAACTTCCAGGGAAAAAAGTTACATATAATATTTAGAACTGGACAGGTAGAAAAATATTAATACCTTCCTTTCATTCTATCCCACACTTCTCTCTCTACAAAACCTCAGTTGTATCCTTTCTTTTTACAAATGAAGATACAGAGTTTTAAAAGCTAAGAGCAGTAATACAAACGGTGCTACAGCCACATTGTACTCTGGTAGTTTGTCAGTTCTCAAAAGGCTCAACAGTTACTTAAGATCCTGCAATTCCACTCCTGTGCACATACCCAAGAGAATGGAAAACACACATTCACACAAAAACTTGTGCACATACACGAACTAGTATTCATAACAGTTAATAAGTGGAAAAAATCCATGTGTCCATTAACTGATGAATGGATATATCAAATATAGTCTATATGAACAATAGAATATTATTTAGCCACAAAAAGGAATGAAGTACTGATTTATGCCACAACATGGATGAATCTTGAAGACATCATGTTAAGTGAAAGAAGCCAGACAAAAAATGCCACATATTGCATGATACCATTTATAGGAAATGTCAGAACAGGTAAATCTATACAGACAGAAAGTAGATTAGTGGTTGCCAGGGTCTGGGGGGGTAGGGGAAACAAGGCAGAGAAAAGAAGGGAAGAAAGAAGGAAGCAAAGAAAATGAAGTTGGTTTCACATGGCTTGATTTTAATAAAAACCTATTAATCACTTTTTAACGAAATAGAGAGAGCAAAATATACTGTGGACAGTGTATAAATAATTTCAATTTTCATCAGATGCGTTAACCAGAAAGCATGCTGGGCTGACTGTTTAACTCACTTTCCCTCTACCCCGCACCTTTTAATAGCTTTTAAGTAGCTGACTCTGCTGTAATACACTCAAGATTCAAGAGATTCATGATATAGGAAAAACTGCTAATACAATGGGGATTTTACTCTAATTAATAAAACATATATGTAATTCATGTTTTAACACACATAAAAGCAAAGAACAAAACTAGCCATTAAGCCCTAATTTAAAATGTGGGTACTAGATACATATAATCTCTTGTAAAAGGAACATTAGTATTTCAGCGGGATTCTTATGTTTCATTATACATACTCAGTGGCAAAACAATATACAGTGTCTCAATTCAGTAAGAATATAAAAATATATAGCAAGATGCTCTGTAATGGGACTATAGGAATAACTGTATAATAGGAATAGTTCTGAGTAACTATCCAATTGCTCTTTTATTTATATGAAGCCTGAAAATATTTAACAGCCAATAAATAAATCCGTTTCTATTGCCATAATTTTCCGACTTATAAATAACACTACTGCAATTTCCTTTCTTCTCTCCTTCCATCCCTTCTTTTTGGTACAACAGGGGAAAGCACATAACACTGCTGTGAGTTCCTAATATAATAACTGAAGCCAAAAAATTAGGACAGACCAGGAAAAAAAAAAAACCCAAACCATGAAGTTGTTTATAAACAAAGGAAAAAGCTCTTAGTGATCTATTTAAAACATTCCAACCAATAAAAAGAAGGGGTTTGCCTGTTTTAATTATGAAATATTAAAAACGACAGACCTATATCCTAAGGGTTTTTTTTTATGTAGGTACATAAAAATACTACTGAGAAGCTAAGCTTTTTGAATGAAAAAAGAAAGTAAACTGGTTCAAGAAAAGAGGAAGATGTAACATGAAGTGTTCAGGATCACTTGAAAAAGGACATAACGTTACCACGAAGTTTATAACACTATAGCCTTCACGATTCTAGGTCAGTGATTAGCAACGCTATTACCAAAAAGGATGCCTCCTTTCAAAAATAACCCTCTTCTCCCAGAGTCTTCAAATAGTAAGAGATTTTTATCTACAAATCTAAATAAATGCCCATATCTTATTAACCAAAGATATGTAATAAAAAATGAAGAGCAATGAATAACTTACATCAGGTTTTCTGAAATAGTGAAAATAGCTTCTGACTCCTCACATGACCCTAGAAAGGCTGGGAATCGCTCCCTCACTCTACAAGCAAGTATACATGCAGGCCTAGGAAGATTAAACGGTAAACTTCTCCCACAAAAATAATAAGGCTCAGAAATCCAACATGTAATTATTGGTAGGTAATAGAATTGGTGTGAAAATAAATATCTGCACTTCAATGGTATTCATTCCATGTTTTGTTTGGCTTTTATAGCATTTGTTTTGGGTACTAAAAAGGTTTCAATCAAGACCATACCTCACTTAAAAATGACCATTTTAGTTGACTATTAAATATTTTTGTGAGATGTAAGTGGGTGGAGGTAGGTGCCTAAGCTGAACTCTCTCACCCTGGTATTATTTGGTTTCTCATGTGTCCTAGTGTTTGAGGATTACAGTTTATAAGACAATCTGCCATGAAAAAAAGCAGCTAAACAAGGAGACAAATGATACTGTGTAGGACAAGCGCCAAATTTTATTTCTGTCAATCACGTGTTCATATTACCCATCACTTCCCGACCTGGCAAAAAGTGAGTCTGAAGACTATGAGTTTGTACCTACTCTGTGATGCCATCAAGAGATACGCCGGAGTGGCCTTTCCAACACGCAGAGAAAAGGGAGTCATTAAGTCACAGATGCCACATTTTTAACAGCAGAAAGCCTAAAATTGTTTCTGACAAGTAACCAAGTCTAAGGTACCATTTTTCAAACCGAGTGTTATATATAATCCCGTATGGGGACATAGAAGCAAGTCAGTGGTTCATAAATCAGGATTAAAAAAAAAATCAAATAGAAATAATTAAAATGAAAAATAGTATTGGGTAGTAGTAAGGATAAGTATTGTTTTATGAAAAAATTACTTAAATATATTACATATACATACATATATAGATGCACACACAAACATATACAAAACATACATATTTATGTATAACTCAAAATATAAAAGTTATGTATCTATTACAAATAGATATTTATTTTTCTTTGTGAACTAAGATGTATTATCTATTCTTTGTGATCTAAATGAGTTGGATACAGAAATCCTTTCCCCCCAAATTATAATAAAATGCTAATAAACTTTACCTCATTTTTTTTCATTTACAGCCTTTGATCACATCCAGTGGCCTTTTCTCAGTCTCAATGCTCTTTCCACTGCAAATGCCTTCCTCTTTTAGTCTCCTCTTCCTCAGCCGACAGCACATGGCTATCTCTACTGCTGGTTCCTCTTTACCCTCCTGCCTCCTAATTATGGAAATGATCCTTGTCCTTGAAAATTGCCATTCCTTCTGTGCATTTTCCCCTTGCTGAAAATTTATCCACTTGCATGGTTTCAAATATTTCTATTTTGTCTCTGCCTTCTAGGTGCTTATAACATACTGAAGAGGACATGTATACATGCCATGTCCTTTAACGGCCTGTGCCTTTGCATAGACTGTCCCCTCTGCCAAGGAAGCGAAGTCCAGCCATCAGTGAAAGATGAGGAGGAGGACACAGAGTTAAGATATTTGCTTCCCTTTTTGTTTATTTATTTTTTGTTTGAAGGGAGTGGCTTGCTAAGGAGGCTAAACCAGTAAAAAGGGAAGTTAACAATACATTTTTTCAGTAATTCTTAAAGGAGACAATTTGAGGAGTAAGGTCTCAAGGAACTGAAATTTAATCAGCAGTTGTAGAGCTCTGCCATGCACTATCAAGGGACATCCTTTCTACAAAGACTGGAGGGAAATTAATTAAGGGTAAGAATGGCCATAGGTATTTGTAGGGAAGAATACATAGTATTCCTAAGTGTCGTACACCAACAGGAATTGAAGGCCTTTATTTGTAAAGTAGGAGGTTAATAAGCATGATGGGGAAGATGGTGGGATCAGAGAGCTCAAGAGAATGGTACATGGTTTAGAAGATCACTTTGGAGCACAGCAAAGGACATTGATCAGGACCCAAAGGCAGGTTTGAGGACACAGTTAAGAATGCAACAGTGAGTTCAGAGTAGTTCAAATCTGTTCTGCTACATGATTTTTCCCAGCTTTCCTAAGCAACGCATGAAGAAGGTCAATGGCTGGATCAGGCCAGTTGGAGTTTCTTGCCAGGAAGAAGCATTATAAACCAGAAAGGGGAAAGGGATGAAAAGTACAAGGGACAAAAGTGGTTAAAATGACTGATGGAGATGGAGGTAATTCTGGGAGGGGCCTGTTCAGCTGTAATACAATGGGGGACTCAAGGAACCTGAGTTCTGTGAGACAGAAAAAAAAGCGAAGATGGGTGGGGTAGGGGGGCGTGGTAGGGTGAAAATGGAGACAACTAAACCTGAACAATAAAATAAAAAGTAGGAAAGTGAACATATAATACAAAATTTAAAGGAATAAAATATAAATAAATAGAAGTTCTAATATTTTCTTCTCAACTTCAATAGCATTTGGTAGCTGCCACTGCAAACCACGCTCCTTAGACAGACACGAATGTTCCACAATGCAATGGGAGGGCGTAAAACTGCTGGAATTAAAAAACTGAAACTGTGTAATTCAGCTCTGAGAGAAATACGTTTCTGGCTCTTTAAAGCTTTGGACTGGGCTACAGTGAAGCTCCACCAAGGTACTGCTTGACAATGAGTTCCCAAATCCTGCAACTACAGTAACACAGACAACTACCATAAAAAGTCTTAAACACTGAGACCAAATGCGTTCCCACCTTGGCTACAGAAAACACCCCTTCGGTACAGCAAGACAAGGATGACGAGCCCCAGTTTTAAAACAATGATCAGATGTTTAAACAATGACATGGTAGAGTTTCTCCTTCTTTAGCGGCAGAAATACAGTGTCTAGTATGTTGTACCAAAAAAACCCACTCACCTGAATAAAATGTGTTGATTTTGGCAAGTTCCTTTTCACAGGTTTGAAAAAATTTTTCTTCAAACTTGGCAAAATACCTCTTTACTGTGTCCTCATCTGTAACTGAAAGCAAAAAAAAACACACCCAATATTTAAATTTAATGTCTGAAAGGCCATTTAGGAAAACTAGGGAAATAAAATTTCAAGTCACTCTTCTTAGTCTTCAAAATAACAACAATATATGGATTTCTTTAAAAAAAAATGGACCATGAACCATATTGAGAAAAGACTAATCAAAGGCCTCTTCACAAGAACACGATTATTTTTTAGTTGAACGACACTCTACAAACCTCTGTTATAATAAATTTATAGTGTCAGAGAAAACAAGTGTCCTAAGACTAGAAGAACACACTACTGTGGACAGAGGCGATCAAGGAAGATTCGAGGTGTTCACAGGTGAAATGAGTAGGATTCTGCAGGAGAATAGATAAAATATTTCCGGGAAAAAAGAAATGCAAGAGAAAATGAAGGCATGAATATCATATATTTCTGGAAAAAAAAGAGTTGACTGTTCTAACAATACTAAATTGCTCTCTATTCATGTTTACTTTGACTGAGCAAGGCATAGAAAAAGACAGGCAGACTGATAGTAAGATTATAAATTAGGTATTCCAAACCTTCAGATGCTGGATAGAAACATAAATGAATTGAGCAAGTGGGGGTGATTATGCAAGTACGGTGATAAATGGGAAGAGCCACCTTTAGGATAAGGAAAGGTGTGGGTTCTGGCAAATTGGAGAGCACATGTCCACCTGGTTGTGCTGCCATGTGATGATATGAGGCCCAGGTTGTCAGATCTTCCAAGTTTTCAGAAGAAGCCATAAATCTAGACATTTTAAAAGGCTGTGTGTGCCAATCAGTGTCAGTCTCTGCAGCCTAGATTCACTATGTGAGTTCTGACACAGCACACTGATCTACTGACTCCTGTAAGTACAAATATATGCAGCTTCAGGAAGCCCCAAACCTGAAAGGGTGTGTTTCGTGCCCAAGTGAAGTCTGACGAGGCACCAGATACTAATCACAATACAGAACCACCCTATTTCCAGGTCTCTGGGACACTCTAAGCTTGAAATGTCTATAAAAACTATAGGTGCTTTTGTCTCCCAGATCCCTCAAATCAGAGCAATCCCAGACACCCTTAAATAATTCACCTATCCAGGAATGAGAAATAATATTTCCCTGAGTAATATGCAACATATACATACTCATTAATACTACCAGAGATTAAAAAAAAAAATAAAAGCTTAAACTGAAGTTCTAAAAAGCAAGTCAAATCTATTCATTTTATTCATATAACAAAAACATAAGCAAATTAGTACTATGCAAAATGTTAACTTTTATATACATCTATTTCTCTATTTCTTAGGCTTTAGAGCTGACCAGATAATGCATTAAGGAAAGGATGCCATTATAAGTTTCTCATGTACGCTCAGCAATTTAGGTACAACATACACTACAGCTGCCCAAGGCCACTGAGAATTATTTTTTTCAGAGCCCAAAGCAGGTCGAACCTTTAAAAAAAGCTGACCTTGAGTTAAAGGTGCTCCATTATAATAGCACCTAGCTATAGCCAATTTAAAATAATACCTTATTCTACTAATTACCTACAATTTCTTTTTCTTTTATTCTCTGCTATATTGTTAGGAAAGAAAACCCCAAAACAAAAAAATGGGCTTGGTCATATCTACTTTGTTTCCCTGTTAACAGACAACTTTCACTAACCTAACCTATTTCTTCATTGATAGAAATAAAGTTGTTCAGCAAATTAAATATAGCTTCTTTAACAATATTAATGTTTATATAGAGACTGCATATTCTGCAACTCCAACTTTTTAAAATATTACTAAGAACCTAGAAATGAAAAATCTAAGCCTCTTAGAAACTAAAACATATGAAATAAGTTTTATGTACTACCCATAAATCTATCTCATGTGAAGTCTTCATTTTCTCAGTTTAGAGATTGTTTTGCCTAGAATACCACAGTCTATTATCTAGTTTTCTAGTTTCCATATAACTTCAGAGCCACAAATCAGAAGAAGGCTGAGTAAGGTTTCTACAACTCTGAGAAGTTATAGCAAACATAGTAAAGAGGGAAAAAGGCTAGATTCAAAACAGCAAGAATAGCTATACAAAATAAATTAAATGAATGAAAATGTTCTTGTCTTCTCAGATTTCAAAAGACATAGTGACTAATAGCAATTAGAAGCACATTATTGGTAAAGAAATTATAAAAACACAATGAAAAGAACAGAAGAGAGTGTCTGGAAATAAATCTGCATATATGCAGATATTTAGATTAAGATAAAGGTGATTTCAACTCAGTGAGAAAACAAAGCACTAAATCACAAATAGGGTTGGGTTCATTGACCACACATTTAATAAAACTCCAGATGAAGTTAAAGAAACAGTATGATAGCCCTGGCCAATGTGGCTCAGTGGATTGAGCACTGGACTGTAGACTGGAAAGTTGCTGGTTCGGTTCCCAGTCAGGGCATGTACCTGGATTGCGGGCCAGGCCCCCAGTTGGAGGGTGTGTGAGAAATAGCACATTGATGTTTTTTTTTAAAACAATATTATAAAATACTAGAAATAAATTAAATAACTCTACATGGGGAAAGCCTTCCTAAACGCCACACAAAACAGAGGACACAACGGGAATGACTGGCGTTCTCACCAAATGAAGTATCTCCATCCACAAGATGCCATAAGCTAAATGAAAAGACAAGAAGAGACAGGGAAAACACACGTGCAACATTTAAAGTAAATGATTCACATGCAAAATTCATTTTTAAAAATTCTTACAAATCTGTTGATATTTTTAATGTTTTAAAAATATACTTCGAAAGATGAGTGGGTAAATTAGAGCAATTCATTCAGAGATACAGATGACCAGTGAACACATAAAAGGATGCTCAATATCCTAGAGATCAGGTAAATCCAAGTTTAATTAAATATAATTTTTAAAAAGATTTTATTTATTTATCTTTAGAGGGGTAGGGAAGGAGAGAGGGAGAGAAACATCAATGTATGGTTGCCTCTCATGTGTCCCCTGCTGGGAACTGGCCTGCAACCCAGGCATGTGCCCTGATTGGGAATTGAACCGCGATCCTTTGGTTCACAGGCCCGCGCTCAATCCACTGAGCTACGCCAGCCAGGGCAAAATATAATTTTTCAACCATCATATTGGAAGCAATTTTAAAATACTGTATTATTTTGGCAATGGTGAAGGTAAATGAACACTCTCACTCCTGGTGGTGGAAATGTAAATTTGTAAAGCCTTTTTGAAAACAATCGGTAGTGATCAAAATGTTCAGTGCGTCCAATCTCACATGGGAAATATGCTCTGAAGAAGTCTCTGCACAAATGGATGTGCGTGCAAGGATGTTCGTGCACCTTATTTTCAACAGTGATAAAGAAAACAGAGTGATGTCCAACAGAAGAACAGTTAAAGAAATTACAATAATACTGTGTAACACTATGTAGCCACTTAAAAAATACTACATATACATCCTAGTATGTATGAAATTCCCAAAAGACACTGTTGAGGAAAACAGTTTAAATAACAGAATATATACAGCATGATCTCATTTATTAAAAATGCATATATGAATATTCTTACGTTCATTCACAGAAATCAAACTGCAAGCATGCATTCCAAACTGTTAACTGTGGTCATCTCCTTTGAAAAAGGAGGGAGTATGAGAGAAATTCTCATATTTTGCTCTCTATACATGTTGTATTGCTTGAATCCATTACAATGAAACTTACTCATGAAAGATAAATTATATTGTATAAATAAAGCATATTATTTGCTGAAACAAAAAGAGAAACATGGCACACCAAAACCTTTAAATTAAACATAATAAAACCTAACTAGCATAGCTAGATGAACAGAGGGTCCGTATCAGAATTTAGAGGTACACAGAATAATTGGGCTTTTTATTTCAGTTGTGAGAAGTTGGCAGAATGCTGATTTACACAAGATTGATTTCTATTACAAGACACCTCCTATATCCTATCTGCTGAGTAATGTTAGAAGTCACTCTAAACAGAATGAACAGAGAATTTCAGTGTTCCAAAACAAACTGACCCAATTCCCTTGTTTTATAGGTGAGAAAGTATAGGTGTAGAGAACCTAAATAACATGAGTTTTTTCCCCCTCCAGTGAAAATGTTTTACAGAGACTCACTGTATTTTCTTAATATAAACATTATTGAAGTGACAACTATGTTGTCACATTTATATGTTGAACCCCTAATCAATCCCCAGTGTGACTTTATTTGGAGATAGGTCCTTTAAGGAGATAATTAAGGTTATACGAAGTCATAAGGATGGGGCCCTGTTCCAATAGGTAGAGACACCCCTCTCCCTCCATTCCTCTCTCACTAGATGTGCACAGTGACAAACAGTTATGTGAGAAACAGCAAGGAAGCCCTCTGCACACCAGGAAGAGGGGCCTTACCAGAGAAACTGACACTGTGATCTTTGCACTTCAAGCCTCTAGAACTGTGAAAACAGATTTCTGTTTAAGGCACCACGCCTGTGGTACTTTGTTACAGCAGCCCTACATTTCACAGTCTGTACCAGACTACAAAATGACTTAACATGAATTCAATGATTAGTCACAGAAGACTAAGCCTAGTTCAAAGAAAGCTAGCATGGATAAGTGCACATTTTAGCAAGAATATCCATGATTGTAAGTTCAGTGTTAATAACAACAAAAAATGACAAAGGGGTAAAACAAATCTAGAATTCATGAAGTACGACTCAGAGAACTCAGAGAACACTTTGCTCTGAGTTAAATAAATATTAATTTAGTCAGTTACACGAGAGAGATTGAGAGAGAGAGAGAGAGAGGGAAAATGAGGCAAAGATTTTTTTTGTCACTTCTATTTATGGTCTTACCTTCACCGCACATTTGCAGATGACAGGCAATTTCTTCCTCATCCACCTCCAAAATTACTAAGTTAACATCAAATAACCCTAAGAGTACTAATCAAGGTAAAATATTCCTACTGCACAGCAACCACCACCAGGTACTTTTTACAGCAGTTTTCAGGAAG